TTGTGCAGCACTCACCACAGCCCGTGTCTGGACTTCAGCAAGTGCTCTAGGCATCACCTGAGCGCAAATGATACACAATAAAAATACCAAACCAACTGAGGCTTCCTAATCACCAATATGTGGAGGTCTGACTTGACTCCAAAACTCCTTTAAAATGCATTAAAATGTTTTCCTTTGCTCCTGCTCCCAAATAAAATGGAACAATCTTCTGGGAAATAAGAAACTGTCTGTGGGTAAAATGGCATTGAGATAAGATTTTTCCCTTAAACTATTTCTCTGTAGCATCCTTCTGATGGCATGATGTTGCGTTCTATTTAATCCTTCATATGAACATAGAAATTCAGATTTTAAAAGGCTGAGACATTAGCAGAGAGCAGACACTTCATTTCCAGGTGAACATCACAAGATTGTGCTGTAGGAAGAGAAACAGAGATCCTTCCTCTCCGAACACCTGAATTTTTGTGCTACGTCTGTGAAACTGTTGTAAGAGTCAGGGAGGAGCTTGCTGTTGGGCATAAGCAAATGGAGTAGGCCCACGGTTCTTGCTCTGTCAGGCAATGTGTTCTGAGCTCTAAAATGTATTCCTCAGAGATCAGGACACGGAGTTATTCAGTAATGTAAAAAATCCCGAGGAAATCTAGATTCGCATTCTAAAATATTGGGAAAAAGCAAAGCAAATATCTGCAGTAGTCAGAATGCAAAGGATAAAACAGATGAGGTTTTTTTTTCCCTAACCACAGCTAGTTCCTCTTTTTCAGATTTAATTGCCCTCGGATGCTCCCTTACCATTCTTCAGGGAGCGCTCACCTTCCTGAGTAAACAGGAAAAGAGGAGGATAGGGCTGTATTTGGGTTCCTTGGAGCCCCGGAAGCAACGCGCTAATGACTTGATAAAACAGTCCCTAGGGCACGGACTAGACAAGCCACTTGTTTTCATGTGAGGCTAATTGCATCCTACACTCAGCCTCCTGGCATCTCAGCTATGAGACAATTTCCCAAGCCGGAGCAATGGACCAGCAGCCACCTGGAAGATGCTCTCGGTGCTGGATCATACCCTCGCACCTTCCCTGTGGTAGGGAATGATGAGAGGGGAAAGTCGGGTGTAATGAAGCCCCAGACTTTAAGATTTAATTGCAACAAAGTGCAGGAGAGTGGGCTGGGGAGGCTTTGCCGTGCTGAGAATATGAGGAGAAGCCTTGATTTCTATGAAAACGCTTTGCTCACCAAAGCGTGGGTGGTGTACTATGCAGGATGCTGCACACAAGCAAAATGAAATCCCTGATGCCGACCGGTGCTGGATGCCGCAGAGGAAGAAAGCTTACTTAGGAGCCTTCTAGGTAAACCAAGGGATGCAAAGAAATCCAGAGGAATTGTATTTTTAAATAAATATATTCAGCAGTTTATGAAATAGTGGTGTTTTTTTTTTTTCCTAGCAGAAATGCAGCTGAACAGCCCAAACCAGTGCATATCTGAACAGTTGCACAGGGAAAAATTTCCATTTGAGGTGTTTCCATCAAAAATCATAACATTTGCACACCCTGGAGTTTCGTATCTATGTTAACGGCCATGTCTCCGTGACCATGAGGCCTTTCATATCTGCAGGGAAAATTTTTATAGCTGTAGGAAAATGGCTCCAATCTTGATGTACCTCCGTCTTTGGCAGGTCTTGGTGGTGAAATATCAAGTCTCCCTTGGATTACTGGGAGCCAAAAGTGTTGACCATGTTCTTTTTTACTGAGTTTTTTCAGAAATACTCTCCTGAGCACCAGAATACAGTGCTCGGGGAGCTCCTCTTCTGCAGCACCAGGCAAACATCTGGGTAGAGCAGTCTGTCTCCTCCTGGGCTCCAGGAACCTCTTCTGGTCCAGGTTTGTGCTCTGTCATGCCCTTTTCATCAAAGCACTACCCATCACACCAGCGTCTGGTTCTGCAAGAGACCTTAACATGTGCCGTTTAATGAAATAGATCCCAGAAGTGTCAGATTTGGGAAAAAAAAAAAATCAGAACCCAACTTATTTTCAGCTCTTTGGGAAAAAAAAAAAAACCCCACAACTTATTTTCAGCTCTTTTGCCAAAGGAGGATGGCCATGAAAGGATGTTGCTGTGGGGTCCTGACTCACTGAAGTCAAATGACCAAATTGCTCATAAATACAACAGAGATCCACAAATAAGTGCCAATTAAGAATAATAGTCCAGCCCTCTGCTGTTCCCACGTATTACAAATGCAGATCAATTTATATCTCCTAAAATGTCTATTTCTCTTACAAGTCGTTACAAGTTCTTGCTAATCAAATATAACAATAGGGTATACAATAACCCACTGTGGAAAGGGAGGTGTAGGACCGGTCGTCAGCGTTGGTTTCAGAGGTGAGCCGGGAGCCCTAGGAAAGCACGAAGAACTGTACGAACCAGACGATGAGAAACTCCTCAACACGTTCAGTGTTGGAGGCTGCTGCTACGAGGAGACCTAAAAGTACTGGAGGAAAATTGCTTGCTGGGTATCACCCAGCAGGGTTAGCTCCGGGAGGAGAAGATGGGGAGAGATTAATCTGTCAAAATATTAGACACCTAAATCTGAGCTAGTTGCTCTCTGTTTGTTTTACCATCTGCAGGGTCTGTGTGATGCAGTCATGGGTGTTTCTCCTCACCCTGAAGCAGATGTCTAAGACAAGCAAACCACACCGTACAAGTCCCATTTTCTTCCTGTCGTCTATAAAAGCTGCCAGAGCAGCAGCGTGAGTCTTGGGGGGAGAAACTGCACATGATGCACAGAGTCTGTCCAGTGAAGGAAGAGGAGTGGAAAGACCGAACCAAGCACGAGGTGCTGCCGAGAGGATGTCAAGAGCAGTGCAAATCCATCAACTCACATGGGCTTAGGACAGGAATTCCAGTTTCCCCATGTAAACACTGGAAAGGAACCAGTGCCGATGCCTGCCATTCTCCAGCGGGACTCCAGGTTTCCAGGGTAAACAGGATGCACTGCTCGTGCCGAATGGGTTGAGTTTTCTTTTTTTTTTTCCCCCCCCATTTAGCATTTTGTGTAAGTGATCTCATCAGGGAATTTGGTCACCTAATTGTAGTCTGATGATCACATTCCACCTCTGTGATTGGAATATCTCAGATTTTCTGTGCTGCGGAGCTGACTGAGATATCATCGTCAGCAAAAGGCTTTAATATGCTAATATGGAGTCCTCTGCCTAAATCCCACTTAAACTGAGCCCTTTACATGATTCTGGCAGTGAAAAAATGCCTTTTAAATGAGAGCCCCTTTACTTTACCCTGAATGGCTTGAAGAGGTCCTCAAGGTAACTGGAGCTGTGTCCCCATTGGCATTGCCAAGCATGGATGTTGTTGATAGAGGGTGGAGAGGAATGGGTTGGGTGTATTTAATTATTAAAAAGGTATTAGAGAAACAGATGCCTCGACAGTTTGTGGAAGCACTGATGGCCCACTGTAGGACTAGCTGTTTCTTACCATGAGAATTAGGACGTGATATTGCTCATAGTAAATCAGATCAATTGTCCATCTTCCCTAATAATAGCTATCCTTACTGCGTTGAATAAAACCTATAGTATCATTCAGACCTTTATGGAAATAAGAGGAAAATATCCAAGTGCATTAAATCTTTTTTTGGAAAGCAATTAATCCAGTACCTGATTTTTTTTAATTCCTGTGTCATTCCCATTGGGAACCACATGACTCGGGTATTAGGTGGACGTAGAATTTGCTCAGGATCACATGCTTTTCCTGGAAGAGTGTTTCCATCAAAAATTAAGATGTAAACAAATATGTAAAGCATGTATAGGTGGAGCCTGTTCGGGTAGTTAGTGGTCAGATGTCCATACCCCTGGGCTCCCTTGTTTCCGGAGATGACGCCAGGCAAGCCATATAAAAAGGTTTGCATTTGATGCTCACACCAGTTCATTTAACTTCTCCCTCCCTCACCTGCATTGGTGAATTGGTAAGTCTTTCTTGGATTTATCAGGGAATAATGTGATGGCTGTCTTACCTGGTTGTTCTGGTCAAGAGAATGTATTACTGATCACAGGAGAGCTTTGCTTCTGGTGTTTCTGTTCCAGGATTTGTCCTGGAACAGAGGAGAGGATGTCCGACTCGTTTAGAGTTTGCTCTTCGTTAAGTAGCTTGCAAATGTCCTGTCACCTCTTCAGAAACAGTGACTGTCTCTCATCCTCCTTTGTATTCTATCTTCATTCATTTTTTCATACCTCATTAAGTCTGGAAATTAAATAAATTAGTGGATGCTGCAGAGTAAGTCTTGGGACTTCAAAAGAGATGGGTGGGAAGAAGCATTATCTGGAAGAAGGAAGCTGCAGAATACCGGAGGGCAAAGCTGCAGGAGACATCTGGGACAAGTCAAGATGAGGAAATGAATTGGAAATAGGAGCTGCAATCTCTGGGCCAACCCTTCTCTTATGGAAGGACGGGCCCAGTAATTCTGATAGAACGGCGATGACGTACCATGATATACAGGTGGAGGATTTGGGATAGTGCCTGAATTTGTGGTCTTCGGGCTTTATCTTGGGCATTCGCAGCTCAACGTCTGCACAAAGTGAGATGTGCCCTGTGGTGTGCACGAGGCACTGAAGAAGTGATAAGCAAAAGATGGGCCCTGGAACGTCTGCTTGTTTAATTAAGAAAATAAGGGAATGAACTGTTTTCATGTTATGGCTTCTTCAGAGTTTGGCTGTGGGCATTTCTATGAAATTCAGGGTTTATAGTTCTGGTCTTCCTAACAGTGATGACTGCAGGTTCCCAAGAAAGGAAGGAGTAATTTGGCAGTGTTAGCTGCGTATGTCTGAGTCCAGAAATCATTCACACAGGCAATTTTTTCTAACAGTCCTTTTCTCAGTCCAACAGTCCAACAGCTAGCTGTTTCAAGAGCTCAGGTTGTGAATAGTGGCTCAAGAAGAAAGGACGAGTGTCCTGATTTTCTCTCTCTCTTTTTACCTTTGCCTTTAGCTTTACCAGCACCTCAGAAGGATGTCTTGCTACGAGCAGTGCAAACAGCCCTGCCTTCCCCCTCCCATCTGTGTGCAGAAATGCACCCAGTGTGTGGAGCCCTGCAAGACGGTGTGTGTGGAGCCCTGTGGCAACGTTTGCGTCAAGCCATGCTCCGCGCCATGCGTGGAGGTCTGCCCGACACCCTGCGCCACCCAATGCACCACGTCCTGCAGCACCCAGTGCGTGGAGCCTTGTGCCACCCAATGCACCACGTCCTGCAGCACCCAGTGCGTGGAACCCTGCAGCACCCAGTGCGTGGAGGTCTGCCCCCCTAAGTGCATTGACGTCTGCATAAAGCCATGCGCCACGCAGTGCCCAACCCAATGTACCACCCAGTGCGTGGAGCCCTGCGTCACCCAGTGCTGCACCAAGTGCGTGGAGCCCTGCCCAGCCCCATGCGTGGACGTGTGTGCCACTAAGTGTGTCGATTCGTGCGAGACGGTGTGCCTGGAGCCATGCAGCACGGTCTGCTCTCGCCCGTGCTGATCGCCTTAACACGTGAGCCTCGCATGCAGCGCTGGTGCTTCGGTGTTCTGCACTATCCGTAGGCTCATGAGCATCCTCGGAACGAAAAACGAGTTACAGACCCAGCTGCAACGTACCGAGACCTCCCCTGATCTGGTCACTGCATGCTCTCTTTGTCTTGGAAAATATTTCTCTGAGTGCTTCCAGCCTGTATCTTTGCTTCCCATGATGCTACTGCTATCTCAGCAGCTTTTTCTTGGTCAACTGCAGTTGGCCAATATTATACTGCTGGGCATCTTGGGAAGTTATTTAGCAACGACTGTGCTGTAAGGGAGCTGTTGATGTTGGAAGATGTTTCCCCTTCTATTCTTTAATTCTCATCTTGTCTTTTAATGTAAGTCCTCTTGTCTTTTAGTGTTTATGTGCAGCAATAAAAACTGACCATCGATGGCATCATGTGTCTTCTGTCTTTCTTTCGTCTCCTCATTTCCATGTCTTCGGACCCAAGAACATCTTCATTTTAACAGGCTGCTATGGTTGTGGAGGATTTGTGCCTGCAATGCAGTACTGTAAACAGAGAGAGCGTGCATTATAAAGCGGAGCGATGTCTTCTCATACTATAAGCAAGACATCATCTGGTCAACACTTTTCTGAGATACACAAAAAAAGAGTTTTATCCTACTTGAAAATACTGATAGAAATTTAATTTTGCCCTTTGTTAACGACAGTTTTGATCTTTATATCTCTGGATTTTGGAGGCAGATCCTAGAAACTGTTAAAAGGCAAATTTAAGTGGAAGAAAGCCCCAACTCTAAGAAAGAAGGAATTGAAATGTTCTTGCTGTGATTTTAATTATTTCTTAAAAGCATTCTGATGGAGATGAAAATGGTATTTTTGATGAATTCTTCCCACAGTCCTCACTGACTAAATATAGAAAGTAGGAGACTTGGCTTCAGGAGATGATTCTTTTTGTGGTTCAGGAACAGGTCCGAGCCCTGCAAGACTGCAGTTTTGTTCCCAGGTTTCCTGCAGATGCTTTGTGTGGCCTTGGGCAGGTCACGCTCTTGTTATTTATCCATTCCCCATCTGCAACGAGGAGAGGTCACATCCCTGACTGATAGCGTGGTTGGCATTTCGGGTTCATTAACGTCTGGCAGGTACAATAATATTTTAATTCACTTATAAATGCATTTTATATGGAGTCATAATTTTGAAACTGAAGGAGGCCCATTGTCTGGCGGGATGTTATGACCATTTAAATGCTGAGTTTCAGACATAATGCTCCCATTGTCTTCCATACTGTGCATGTGACTTGCTTACCTCTGTCTCCGTGGTGGCCACACAATTTCCATGTCTGGGATGTAGAGAATTGCTATCCACCTACCGTATCATTATGGCAAGGGTGGAGAATATCTAATCTAGAAAAGAAAAGAGTTATATTTAGGTGTGTGTAAACAGTGTTACCAAATCAGCTTTTAATGAAACCTTGTGTGCAGGTGTAGAGAGTTTGATGGTAGATTCCTTTTTGTGTTATTTCTGTCAACATGCAAAAAGTGACATCATCAAACAGGAATAATGATAGGCAAAACAGATCTCAGTCAGGCAAACAAATTCTACACTTGAACACACCTTCCAGTTCAGATAGACAAAGCAGGGGTAGGTGGACCAGACATTCAACAGCACGACAATGGAAGAGGAGACTCGGAACGTGGACCTCTAATTCCTACTGTTGAACGCGACCCTTTGGGGATTCAGCAATGAACTCTGCCTCGCTAATAACTGCTTGCTGCTACCACACGTGTAGAGTCAGTGCCCACCTTCAGGCATGGAAAAAGTCTTAGGAAGTCATACGCAGCTACTCATGAGATCCATCCCATAGGTTGGCCACCTATGATTTCCAAGCATCTTCATCCAGCTCTATGAGCTGTGTCAGTCATTTAAATTTTTTTCTTCTCTCCCTCTCTGCTGCGAGCATTGCACCAGGCACAGTAATCACGGATGGGAGCACGCAACTCTGGAAGCCCCAGAGGAAGTGGCAGGAGGGACCTGTTGGTTTGTGCTCATCACGCTTCCTGCGCCTGTAGGAAAAGGTGTTGCAAAAGCCCTGACACATCACTCTCCTATGCACCTGTGGTTAGTTCTGAGCATTGCTAAGATTCCTCTGTATATTTACAACAAATTAGTGGCATTTGGTCCATGGCACCCTCAGGGTCATTAAGACCCCTGGTGATTCAAGCATCAGTGAGGGATGTTAAGACATGGGGTGATGTTGTTTCCATTAGCACCTTCTGTTCTCCTACGCCCAGTGGGGGCCATGTCCATCATCTCTCCATGTATCATACATCTGTAATGGAGACCGGGCTGTAATTCATAGGGCTGAATATGACCCCACAGGGCATAGCACTGAGGAACATTCAAGGGAGGCTTGAACGACCTTTTCCATCAGAGCTAAAGACAATGTTTCAGTTGAAACATTTTCTCTGTTCCTTCTTTGGAAAAATTTCAAGGGGATTGACATTTTTCTGAAACATGGATCCATCCTCAGAAAAAACAAATTCTGCCACAACTTCAGCAAGGCAAACCCAGCATTTGTAAAAAAAAAAAAAAGTTGTTTTAGTTGCTTCAGTGAAAAACTACGTGAAAGTGCAAGAGAGTTTAAGGGGAAATCTTTCTAATTTCTTAGCAATATAAAATGTTCCCTTCCCCTCTTGGGGAAGGAAAACGGAGAAGGACAGAAGCAAAAGCCAAATACACAGACTGCCAAACAGAGACCTGCTTCCCTTCCCAGGAGCTGGGGTACGGCACCCAGACCTCCCCCACCCCACTCAGGTTTATGCCAGCTGGAGATCTATCCTGGTGATCACAGACAAAACTGTCAGGGAACACCTAAACTTCATGCAAACGTGTGCTGCTGCCTCCGGAGCGGACCAGAGCCATCTCTCAAAACTGAGTTCAGTTGTGGGATCTTTGCCCAGGGTCGGGACGAGATGAATTATTAATAAATTAGCCAGTTATTACCAGATTGGGTGTGCCTTGCATTAAAGACAACAAATCCCCCGCACCTGAAAGAGGAGGCATCTTTCACAGACCTTGACTGAAGTCCAGGTGTATGGAGGTGTCAGTGGAGCAGGTTCAGGTTGTGAAAGATTCTGGTCATCAAGTTAATCTGTTGTCATCAGCTCCCGGGGCTGACTTCTGAAAGCGTATAAAAGCCTCCCATTGGGGAGGCTTATTAACTTGAGTGGCTTCTTTTTCTGTTCCTCCAACAGCAGGAGACACCAGGTGAGTCCTTCTGTGCACATTTAGCTATATAGGTGGGGGTTTCTGGTGCCCTGCTCTTGGGAGACAGGGTGATTTTTCTTTATTTTGTTTATCGAGTAACAGTTTGAGCTCGTCTCCCTGGCGGTTTCACCACTGTACAGGTGAAAGCTATATTATATTATTTTGACTCTTTCTGAGGCTCCAGACAGTGGCTTGCTGACTCTTTGGACCAGCAAACCCTTGGCAACCCTCATAATTTTTTCCCAACTGATAAGAATCCTTGTGGATAACCATCTGGTATGGAATATCAGCTACCGAAGGATGGCATCCACTGGCAGCTTGTCTCGCATCAGTTGAGCGGCCATGGGCTCATCACTGCAGTGTCCTGGATCTCCAGGGCTCTGAGTTTGACCTTGTTCTATAAAATCCTATCCTCACTGAGCAGGAGGGCAGCTCACCTGCATTTAATAGCCGGAGACATGGCTCCTGCTCTGAGCCTCTCAATGGACTAAGCAGAGACACAGCTGTTGCCAGAAGGGATGGTTATCAAATGATTTTTCTCTTTCAAAACCATTTGCAATAGTAAAATGTCACTAGCTTGCTGCTCCTCTTTGACTAGTTTTAAATATTGCTCTGAGGCTCTCCTTGAACTGAGCGTGCTTTCATTAAAATTTGTATCGCTTTGCTTGTCACAGTTGAAATGTTCAGAAAATAGCGAGCAGGAGGAAAGAAAACCCCTCTCACGTGTTTCTCTTCCCTCCACCTCTGTGGCCATTTCCCTGTTTGGATCACAACTTTGTTAGCATGATGCTCGCCTCTTCTATTCATTTATAGACGTATGCCCCAAGGCCTCGGTGGGGCGGCTGGTCTCCGTAGAGGATAACTGTGATGGCAGCCCAGAAAAGCAAACTGGAGTCACCAACACAGTTTTGGTCTAAGCGGCAGCATCCTCAGGGATTTCCAAGGGTGTGTGTTTTTTTTTTGTTTGTGTGTTTTTGCTTGTAGGATTAACTTTTAAAGGCTCTTCACTGTTGGTTTGATGTCAAAGCTGAAGAACCGACCGAAACTCTAATATCCAGAAAGAAAAAGTGTGTAGGGCCTAAAATAACTGAAATGGCACCTTGGTTTTCTTCCAGGCTTAGCAAAGATGTCTTCCCACCAGCAGAAACAGCAGCAGCAAATACCTTCAAAATGCCAAGAGAAGTGTCCTCCAAAGTGCGTGGAGCAATGCCAGCCCCCCAAAGGGCAAGCCAAGTGTCCTGTGAAGAGCATCCCGCAGCAGCAGCAGCAGCAGCAATGCCCAAAGCAGAAGTAGCACTGGCAGCGACGGCCACAAAGTGCCACGGAAGATGCAAATGCTTATTTCCAAACTCTCCTTCTGTCGGCTGGCTCTGCCAGAATAGCTAGAAATGTGCAACATGTCTCATCTGTTTGCAAGCAGAAATTACTTTAAGAAGAGATGCAATTCATTAACTTGGATTTATTCATCCTCTACTATAAAAAAAAAATAAAAATAATCGTGGTGTCATTTTCTTCTGATCTTTAATTTGGGACTTGCTACAATAAAATTATAAGTAACCTCATTACTTGCTTCCTGATATTGTTTTCACTTTATTAGTGTCGTTCATTCTCTTTTGGTTTCTTTTATTAGCCAAAGAATTACTTTAAACATCCACTTGCATATAAGGCACACATACACAGGGACCCATGTGCATTTGCCTTCCAGATTTCCCAATGAATTATTTGTCCATATTTTTATTTCAGATATATCCAGAAACCTACATCTATTAATATGATGACCAAATAGACTAGAAGTGTGAAATGTCTAGAGTAAACAGTGTACAAAATGACCACAATTTCTAGAAAGACCGTTTAAATTCAGGGTCCTTTAGGGCAGAGCTGCTGCCTGGGTGTCAAAACTGACTCAGCATCAACGTGCTTCCCATTTCAGGTCAATATTGAAGTTGTTTTTATCCTGAACTGGAGAAAACTGGGGAAAGTCGGTTTTCTGCAAGATATAATATTGTCAAGTATATATTTGTGAGTCTATTGAAATGATTAATTATGGTTTTAGGGTCTCAGCTATACTCTAACTGCTGAGAAGAAAACAGTCTTTGGAAGTTTTTAATACGGAAAGGAAGATTTTGCTTGCTCAGAATGGATTGTTTCTGATTTAGAAGAACTGGGAAGAGCATTCAGGATGTTTTGGTTTCTCAACAGTACATGCTGGCTCAGCTAATTGATTTCCAGTCAGCTGTATGGCAGAGTAGAGGAGGAAAATTATGAATACAGAAACTGTTGAGTGATGCGATATTGGTGTCGGGCAGACAGACATAAGCTTGCTCTGCAAAGCAGAAGCTGTGCGTCTCGGTGTGATTCTGTGATCGGACAATGAGATTGGGCGTATCTAACACCCATCTAACAAGTACAGGGCCAAACTAGGGAGATTACATCGCTGCTGGCTCGTCTGAAGTGTGGGAAAGACTTCTTTGCTTGGGCTTGCAACTTGCCTCGTAGACATGCCCATGTCCTACACCTGCTGAAGGTGATGGAGTGGCTGTGAATATGTTTAAATGGAGGAGACTGACCGTGGGGATGGCTCGGTGTGAGCCGATGCCCTGTGCCGTGCTCGGGGACGGGGTGTCTCGCTGAGGGACGTTTCAGTGTAATTAGTCTTTCAGTGTAATTAGTGTTTCAGCGCTATTAGCCAGCCCGACGGACTGATGGAGCACAGGGGCTCTTGCAGGTTCTCTAACCTGGGCACCTGGAGAGGAGCAGCGGACCTGGGTTTCCGAGTCCTGATTTGCCCAGTTTTGAGCCTAAAAAATAAGTGACTGTTGCAAGCCGAGGCTCCTTTTCATCTTTTTAGGCAGACGCTATTAAAAATCTCCACGACTTGTTGTTCAAAGTCAGTTTTATTGTTGATTTTCACAGTGAAATAAATCCTGGACACTGTATCAGCCTAAAACAATTAGAGATAAGTACCAAATACATATGCAACGACAGTGCGTGGTGAAACATGTTTCAGGGTGTAATTGAGACAGCCCTGTGTATGCTTCCTCCTTTATCCTGTCTAACAGATGGAAGCCACGCCTGAGGTTAATCTGTTTCAAAACATGTCTGGATTGGATTTAATTATCTATGTATTTTCCACAAATAATGTCAACTCGAGCTGTTCTCTTACACATCCTAGAAAATCCAAGGTGAGCTCTCTGAGGGAAGCGTTGATTACTACCAATTCCCCTAAGGAGATAATCAAGAGCTGACGGCTCTTTTGTAAAAATCTTTCAATTTCCTCCAGCCCAATGGACTTTTTTTGACTGCATAAAATATTCAGCACTATGGATTCATGATTCAGAAAGTCGTGTTGCCATTGACCAGAACCCGTTAGCAGCAGGTTCGGCACAAACCTCGAATCCTCTTATTAATGGGCAAAACACCTAAATGCAAGGTAGGAGATGGCGTTCGTGTACAGGGAGCTGGGGAGGAAGGCACGAAAACCAGGAGGTGGGTCTGGACGATGAGCTCAAGGTCCCTAACTGCGTTTGGGTTAAGTTTGAATATTTAGCTTAATGAACCCTGACTCGTGCATGCCGTTAGGCTCTTTGGTTTCTCTCCGGGCCTTTAAAAGGCAGTGGGATGATTGGGAGAGGGCAGAAATTCGGGCTGCTGGAAAGCTGAATGCATGCGCCTACAGCACTGCTTGAAGCCTTATTATCTATTGACAGTCCCGACGTGTCAGTGAGGTTATGGCTGTTAGTATAGGGTAACGCTAGCGTTAGCTGGGGGGGGAGTTGGAAGCTGTGCTTCTTAACAGAAATTCTGCGATGAATAGGAGAATGTTGGAAAACGACCTCGGGTTGTGAGACACGGGGAGAGGAGGTCTGGGTTTGCAATCTTCTCTTTTCAGGGCTTCCCTTGTCAGCTGCAAGTTACTTCTGCATAGGTGGCCACTGGTTGGGCTGCTTCACCTGCTGCTGCTCGATGGGAGGATGCTTCTCTGGAAGGGAGCACTTCCCTGGCTCAGGGGAGGGAGCAGGGATGGGCACGGGGATCTCCTTGCACTCCTGCTTCTCCTGAGGACATGGCACGGGTTCAGGGCACGGGACGGGGACTGGCACAGGGATCTCCTTGCACTCCTGCTTCTCCTGAGGACATGGTTCAGGTTCAGGGCATGGAACAGGGATTGGCACAGGGATCTCCTTGCACTGCTGCTTCTCTTGGGCACATGGTGTGGGTTCAGGGCATGGAACAGGGATTGGCACAGGGATCTCCTTGTGTTCCTGCTTCTCCTGGGGACAGGGTTCAGGGCATGGAACAGGGATCGGCACCGGGATCTCCTTGCACTGCTGCTTCTCTTGGGCGCATGGTGTGGGTTCAGGGCATGGAACAGGGATTGGCACAGGGGTTTCCTTGCACTCCTGCTTCTCTGGAGGGCATGGGGTGGGCACAGGGATCTCCTTGCACTCCTGCTTCTGCTGGGGACACGGTGCAGGTTCAGGGCATGGAACAGGGATTGGCACTGGGATCTCCTTGCACTGCTGCTTCTCCTGGGGACACGCTGCATCCTCTGAGCAGGTAACAGGATCTGGTACAGGGATCTCCTCGCATTAAAAAACGGAGTTGGTTCAGAGCAGGAAACCGGGGCTGGCACAGGCAGCTCTTTGCACGCTGATTTCTCATTGGGGCATGGGACAGGCTCAGGGCACGATGCTGGCGGGAACGTTGGTGGTAGCTTGCTTTGCTGTTGCTGCTGCTGCTCCTGGGGTGGACACTGGGGTATTACAACCACTGGTGTTTCTCCCTTGCCTGGTTCCACCACCGATGTTGGCAATGGCACTGTTTTTTCTGGGCATGGTACCACTTCTACTGGGACTGGTTCTGGGCAAGATGTTGGGACTTGGTCTTCAGGTTGCTGCTGTGGACATGGGACAGGCTCAGTGCATGGCACGGGCTCTTGGCTTTGCTTTGAAACCGTTTTGCTCAGGCCGGGTGGGAGCGTGATTTCCTGCTTGATTTGCATTTGATTCAAAGACATCTTTGCAGGAAACAAGATTATCTGAAAGAAACGTCAGTGTGTTATTGTATCTGCTAAATGAACCGTGTTGGGATAAGAGCAAATGGTTATAAGAAACATGAATCACCTGCAAGAGTAAAGTTCTCTTAGTTTGCCCTTGGTTTCTCAGGGCAGGTTGCCTAGAAAGAATTACGATTTGCTCTTTCTTTTTCATCCTGCCTTTCAGCTCCTGCTCGGACTCTGTCTTATCTTGCTCCTCCTTTCCGTTCTGCAATGTGGGACAGCCCTGTCAGGTCTAACTGAGGTAAAGCCACTCCTTTGAACTTGGAGCTGATTTACACTTCAGAGCTCTTCCTCCTGCTCTTCCCAAGGTGTTAGCTCCCTTTCATTTCTGTTCTGGGGAAGTGATGAGTGGAGCTGGCAAATAACAGATCTGCTGGTTTGGTAGCGGTTCCAGAAAGTGAAAATAATTATAAAAAAATAATGAATGCTGACGACAAACGTTTAAAAATGTTTGGTGAATCAAAAAGTAGAAAAATATAAGTCTGGGCCCAGCAGGATATTTTATGTTGACAAAACTGAAATAATTCATTTGATTTTGCCCCTTTTAAAATGGTTTCCAGGTTTTACTTGGAATTAGAAACCTGAGGTGTTAAGGCCTCAAGGTGGACCTCATCGTTAAGCTGATACCTTTCTGTAGTATTAAGAGTCTTTGCAGTAACAATAGCCAACTCCTCCCCTTGCTCTGGTTTCACTCTGACTTCGTTGGTGATGTAATAGATTGAGGTTACCTGTGGCACAGTCCTTCCATCTGTCATGGAAGGAATTAGCAGTGGTAATGTGTCCCTATGTTTCTGGATTATCATGGCCACTAATAATACAGGTAGCACGCATGAATCAGAATAATCAGGAGGGATTTCTTCTCCCAAGGCCAGTAATGTGCAACAGGACACATGGGTTTTCCTAACAATTTATGAAACTGCCCCTGTTTTGTGGGATGCTGAAGGCAGGCACCGGACTCAGCTGGGCTGGTGCTGTGCTGCTGTTTTTCTAAAGACAATCTAAGGGCACAAAGAAAAAGTTTAGAATCACAGAAGTGTGGGTTGGAAGGGGCATTTTAAAGTCCCCTCAACGCAGGACGAGCGCGAACACAGCTCGTGTGAGAGTGTGCAAGTTCGTTCTCCCTTCCTCATGTTGCCTACTCCTCTCAGCACATCTTCAAAGCAAATTCATTCCTCTCTTCTGCATCCTCCTAGATCCTGCAGATCAATATCACTTGTCTCTTGCTATTTTCTTTATAAGGCCCTGATAAGATCTTAAATCAAATTAATATGTTGCTCTTGACTTGGTTAGCTCGAATGAGACAGGACGCTAGGAATACTTTCACCCTTCTGCTCCCTACAGCCCCTCATACTCCCAAATCTCTCTTTTACAAAATAATTCTTCAATGAAATTGAAGTTTTAAAAAATATTGTTGTTATAAATAGCAGAACCACAGGAAATAGGTTTGGAAGGAGCTTTAGGAGGCCGTTTAGACCTTCTCCTTCCCTGAATGCAGGATCAGCTATACTTAAACCAACATAATTTTATCTAATCTATTCTTCAGAAAGGGTCTAATTTAGCACTTAACTATCCTCAGATTTACACGCAATCTGAGTTTGCCTTGCAGAGTCCTTCTAAGACTGCTTGTCCTGCCCCGATGCCCACAATTTCTCTTCATTGCAGAGATCTTTTGCATATTCAAAGGCATCAAATAAAACACTTCTTTAAAGAGTCTGCCTACATTAAGACAAATAGGAAAATTCTAGACATCACAAAAAAGTATCAGTATTCTCTGACTTACCCAACCGGTCAACAGGGAGAAGCACAAAGTCAAGTGGATGGTGGAGCAGGGAGATTTGAGAACTTTTATATGGTTTCAAAGCCCTGCCTTCTGGGAATGAGTCCTCCTAGGTAATGAGCTCATTCTTTCACAACTGCCGTTGTGCGTTTCCGCCACAGACTTGTTTCACACGTAGGCATTGTGAAGAGAGGCTTTTGGTGCAGAATGTGTTTTATTCCCCTTTCTGACTAATCTGATTTAACAAAAAACTTTCGGCGTGAGTAAAGGTCGTAACCCCAGGTGCATGCATTCGTTGCAGACTCCCTCAAGAACAGAGGTCTTGGTGTGGTGTCAACCAGTATGATTCCACTTCAGCCCACGCGTGTGTCATTTCATGTCAGCTGATGCCCCCTCTTCTTAGGATGTATTTGTAGTTTGAGGTGGGGAGGCTAATCTGTACTTCTCTCACCTGCTTTCCATCAATGAGTTCTCTAAAGTGACTTTTTTGTGATTCTATAAACTAGTGATGGATGGGTTTATTTTTTATTTTTTCCCATGAAGATCTTCATAGATTTAATTCTTCTTTCATTTCAGAACAGATAGTTTTGAATGCATGTTGTTTTCTGTGGCAGAGAAGATGCAGCTCCCACCTATCCAAATGTAATAGAAGAGAGAACTGAGTTTACCTCCATGCATTATGTGAAAAGTGAAGGGATTTTTTAAAATAGTATACAAGATTTATCATATCCAAATGGAATTCGGGCACTGGTCTCGTTTAGGTGCCAGAATGGCATTTGAATATATGTTTCAATCTACATGTGAGACAAAGGGAGCTTGTAGCATGTACAGTTTATTCCCTAAGCATTATTCCGTGTGAAAAAAGTCTAATGAGTTAAAATAGCTCTCTGATTATTATCCTCAAAATCTTAGGGAGCCATCAGGGTGCAAGTCAAACAGTCCTCCTTTCTGATGGTAGGATTATTTTCAGCGTTGTGGAGACAACGAGTCCCACACAGAGGTGAATTTCATCATATCTGGTTGTCCTGGGACTATCTTGGTCCTGTCTCCACCATTCTACCAGAGCTCTTATCGGAGCAGGCACTACAGATGCAATCCTTGCAACAGGCTGAGCTGGTACCCGTCACCAGTTGGGATTCCTGGGCTGCAAATGTAAGAAGCTGTTTCTAGCCCTGGTGTAACTTCCTCTGTTAATACTCCTTTGGCAACTGAAGGTCCGAACACCCCCATTTTAGACCATATCGTCTTCTCCTATAGCGTGACTTCATCTGTGCAACATCCTTTCTTACCTCATGGCCTTGCTGCTCGCCTGGCTGGCTCTGGAAGCTGCTTAGCTTGAGTCGTCAGCCTTTGCTAGGGAAGGAGACTATCCCAGCCCAAGACCTAACCCTGACTCAGGTCTCACCTGCTGCTCTGCTGGTACAAATTGCAGTCGTAGCTCTGCTGAAGGCAGGAACTAGGACACTTTCCAGCAGTGGAGAACCTGCCTGTCTGCTTTCTAGGTAGCATCACGCTTCACGGTTATCAAAATAGCACTTCTGCTGAGATACGCTCCTGAAACACAGCCCTTCAAAGCAGGAAGATAGAAAGAATAAGCTCAGACTGGTAAAAAACGTGGGTTTTCTCATTGCACTTGGTCTGAAGAGGACAGAGCGGCTGGGTTCGAAAGGAGACAGTGCATCTTGTTAGATCAAACATTGCATTTGAATATTTGTGCCGTATTCACAAGTGAATATACGTCTTCAGGTCGCAGCTTCAGTAACCTTTGTTCTGTCCATCAATTAGAGCACCGGGGAGAAACAGGGCACGTAGCACTTGTGGAGCAGTGTTGAGGCAAAGACTGTTACAGGCTGTAGAGCCATCCTGTGTTGAGACATTGCTTTTATTTCAGCAAGCAGTGAGGTTTCTGGAATATTTAAGCATCAAATTTCCAGCCTCAACTTGCAACATCGAGCGATTAAAGAAAATCACTTTCCATAGCTGGAAGGGAGAGGACCTGAACCTTGTCTGGAGATCAGAAGGTGAGGCCGTCCTGACCTTAAGCACTGGTTTGGATCCAGGTCTGGAGAGGCTCGGCGAGGTCACTTCATCTCCATGTCAGCAACCTCAGCAGAAAAATGATGGTAATTATCATCGAAGAGGCTCTGAAGTCAGCCCGTGGAAAGGGAGTGAACATTTTTCCCATAGTAGAGGTGTAATTGCTTTCCCCTTCCGTGTGGACTGCACGAATACTATTTTTAGAGGCAAATGCCATATCCAGTGAAACCTGCCTTACTGAAACATTTGGGAAACTACAGGAGAAATGTGCATTGAGTAAGGTGGCTTTCCAGTGAACGTGGAGCTAAGCACCTCCTCAGCTCTCACCTGATGGAGCCCGGCTCAGCTCCCAGTCGATTCTGAAGTTGTACCACTAATTCCAGGGAACGTAACACTACAAGTCAGAAAAATACTGGCCCAAGCCCATCCTTCCTAGGCAGAAAATGCTACTCCAGCTCCCACATCGCTTGGGTAGATGCTGTGCCATTATCAGCCCATCAGTGGCCTTGCAAATGCTAATCAGGTAATTAAGTCCCTGTAAGTCTGAGAGCCATGGGAGGCAGGCAGCAGTTATGCTAGCAGCTCCGAATGGAGGTCCGTAGCTGCCAACTTTATCTGGTTCATCAATGAGATGAGTGTCTCCATATCTCTAAGGGTCCTGAAGCTGTATTGCTTCAGTTGGGAAAAAAAGGATCAGCTTTTTTAGAAGTGAAGACGGCTGCAGAGAACCTCAGCTCAGGATGTGAAATGCTCACCGTGCTCCTCACCTCATGTCTGCATGGCTGCTCTTTTGATATTTCCCCATCCAGCCCTTTGTACCTTTGCACACAGAGAAAACGATCTGAGGAAACTATTGCACTCCTGGATTTCATGTCTTGGTGTGATTCAGAAGTTGCTGAACTGGATCTCCCAAGACTCGCCCTGGTGGCTTAATTAGACACTGTTTTGTTAACACCTCATCTTGTTCTTTATTATTGTATCTGTCATCACTTTAGGGTGGACATCTTGCTTAACTCATCTCGAAGACAAAAGACATAATTACCTGTTACTGAATTTCCTAGTATCGGTCTGTCTGCCTGTGAGTCCGGTCACTAAAGCATCTTCTCTCCTAGTGCTGGAGACCGAGTGTCAAGTCATGCTACAG